CAGGCGCTACTTCATCGAAGCTGGTTTGCGCTCTGCTGGATGCGCTTTTATACTTTCTGGTGCTTACGTCACCCTGCTCGTGACGTCTCGCTGCTCCATTGGACTGATTTGACACGTGCTTCAGAACGCGGTCACGCAAGGGCGTTCCCAAAGCGACTTGACGCAGCGTCTCGTTCCCTCGGGGAACCATGGTTACATACGTAACCTAGAGACGTTTAAGCTGAAGTACTAAAATGACAAAATCTAAAACAATGTTGTTAGCAAAACTAAAACTATTAAAACCATTTTCGCTAACAGAAAAAAGCTAAAATAAAATAAAATAAAATATAATATAACAAAATTAAATAAAATTTTTTTATAATACAATAAAAATTATAAAATAGAATAAAATACTAAATATAATAGAAAACTAACTGTAGTTTAATTTGAAGTACAAAACTGAATAAAACAAAAAGATGTTGTTCTTGTTAGATAAAACTAAAATGATTAAAATTGCTTTCATTAACTGAAATAAAGCTGAAATAAAATATATATATTGAAACTTTGCAACTAACTAAATTAAGTTGAAACTAAAATGACTAAAACTAAAATAAAATAAAATAAAGCTATATATAAATGTTAAAAAAAATTATAATAAAAATTACAAAAGCACATAATAGAATTACTCAAATTAAAATTCAAACTATAATAAAAGCTAATTTAAAATATTAATAAATACTATAATAGTACATAATTATTATCAAAATAACACTGTATGAAGTGTTTTGCGCTAAATTCCTGACTCTCCATATTCATTCTGTCATATAAAACACAATAATACCAATCTTTCAGTAACAGCAATCCCTCGCAAATGTTTTTGTGTTGATTCTCATTTTAGTCTGTAATGCAACACACCCAATCTGTGTGCGGTTAATAATGCCTAGTTCAGTTTCTCCTGCATGTATATGTACTGTATCTGCAGCTGTGAGTGGACTCAGCACATTACTCAGTATATGTGCTCTTTAAATAGGACCACGCGTCAACAGTGTAAAGAGGAGTATTTTTAGTGTGTCACTCACAGAAAGCATCTCCTCTGGGGTTCAGCTCCTCGCCCACCAGCTGGTTTACCGTGTCGTCTTCCTCTTCCTCCTCTTCCTCTTCATAAAACTTCTCCTCCTCTGGAAACACAGGTTTCTGCTCCGGAGGGCCGATGTAGACCTCGCCGTCGTAGTCGAAGGGCTGCAGGCGGAGTCGTGGAGATCCGGTCACCGCAGGCTCGGGGATGGTGTTGTCAAACTTTCCTCCCAAAATACGAGTTTTTGAGTGAAAATCAGGAATAGCTGCAGGACACAGAAGATGGAATTAAATGCATGAGAAAACTGGAATGAAATCTTGTATGCTGATGTTGAATGATGTTTTGAAGCCATTAAAAGTCAAACATGCATATACGGAGCCTATTTATTTGATCCATGCAATCGCAGCATTATTGCATTAATCATTTAATGTGCTTTATATACGCCATAACTGCATCTCTGGATATGTATGAGGCTTTTCCATGCAAAGTGCATCTGTTGTGCATGAAGCCATTCGCAAACGTCAATAATTCAGTTGCATGGTAACACTTTACATTAAGGTTTCAATATTAGTTAACTAAATTAGTTAACATTAGTGCATTATATATATATATATATATATATATAGTCCAGGCCTATAGGTATCACATTAACTATTGCATTAACAAATGAGACTTTATTGTAAAGTGTTACCTGTTGCATTTGCAAAGCATTAAATAGGTTGCCAAAGCAGACGTTTCCTCTCCATGCTGATGTTTGCCTGTTGTTTTGTACCACAAAAGAATGTTTTCAGAAATCACATCAAAGATCAGAGCTTAGAGGAAACGTCCTTCTGCACATACAGCCACTGAACGTTTGCTCTGCATCGCTGAACTTTCTCACCGTTGAGAAACACTTGTGCATTTCCTTTCTCACCTTCCCAGGATCTGTGATAAAAAGGCTTGACTACAAAAACACAAAGGATTCGATTCACATGAGTTAAATGATGTTGCTCAGAGGTCAAAGTTCAGGAGACTCGCTGAGATCTCAGTTCAGTTTAAAGAAACAATTCACCCAAAATGAAAATGTCCTCACTCTCAGGCCATCCATCATGTAGATGAGATTGTTTCTTCATCAGATTTGGAGAAATGTGTCATTCCATCACTTACTCAGCAATGGGTGCTCTGCAGTGAATGGGTGCCGTCAGAATGAGAGTCCAAACAGCTGATAAAAACATCACAATAATCCACACCACTCCAGTTTATCAGTTAACATCTGGAGAAGCCAAAAGCGGAAACAAATCCATAATTAAGATGTTTTTAACTTGAAACCATAACCATAATCTATAATAACACTTCCTCCAGTGAAAAAGTGCATCTCCTGTTGTCTCTCTCATCAAAATCCAGCCACATATTTGTTTAGAGCTGTTTAAACGCTACTTCATCTGTGCAGATTTCTCTCCTGATTCACACCAGAACACTTTTTCACTGGAGGAAGCGTTATTATGGATTATGGACTCATATTTTAGCCAGAAGCAACGGTTTGAAATTACAATATCTTAATGATGGATTTGTTTCAGCTTTTGTCTTCTCCAGATGTTAACTGATGGACTGGAGTGGTGTGGATTACTTGTGGATTATTGATGTTTTTATCAGCTGTTTGGACTCTCATTCTGACGGCACCCATTCACTGCAGAGCATCCATTGCTGAGACACTGATGCAATGCTACATTTCTCCAAATCTGATGAAGAAACAAACTCACCTACATATTGGATGGTCTGAGGGTGAGGACATTTTCAGCAAATTATCGTTTTTGGGTGAACTATTCCTTTAGAAAAGTTTTCCTACGTCCTTAGATGTTTCTCCTAAAGTTCCTCTATGTGTGGATCCACATTCATTTCTACAGAAGTGCAGCGTTGGAGTCTATGCAGATAAACAGCACAGAAAAACCGTTTCCTTTGGCTTTCAATTGAGTGTGTTCGGTACAAACGCAGATATTTACACAGGTGGGATTTCAATCGCAGACTTTCTCTGCCTGACACCTGTGAAATTCAGGAGGCTCTTTAAAGGAAACACTTTGGAGCTGCTGATGATTCCTACAGCATTTTCTTTCCTGTCGTTTCACCCCTTCAAGGATAATTACAAACTGATACTCACACAAATGAACTCAAAATATAATTGCATATCCATATGCAAAATATACAGTAGAAGTCAAGAGTTTGGACACAGAACCTTACTCCTAGGACTATCTATCGATCTTATTATTTCAGAGTTTTCTTGAGGTGCATTGTTGCATTTTAGTTTTGTTAAGAATTTCACACATGCATTATATTTTAGATTTATATTCTACAAAAATTATTTCAAGCATTGAAGAATTTATGGTCTTTAAGATCATGAGAAACATACATTCGGTCAGTATGTCCAAACTCATCACTGGCGGTGTATATTTCAACCAAAAGCAACCATTCCAATCTATAATACTGTATATTATGCATATAATTAATTTTACTGACTCATTGCTTTCATGTTTGATCTTGTCTCTCACCTGAACAATCAAATCCACTGCCACGGAAACCCTGCTTGCATTTACACTTGTAGGATCCATGTGTGTTGATGCACTCAGCGTGATGACTGCACTTATGTGTGTTGGACACACATTCATTTATATCTGAAAATACAGTGTTTTAGTATTACATTTCAAATTATGGATCATTCTTATCATTGTTTCACATCTTTCAGTTGCATATGCAATGCATATATCTAATAGATATAAAGCATAAGAGTGAATGCACATTGTTTCAGCGGCCTTGATTCTGTAAGTAGTCTAATAATTCTCTCCAAGCATGTAAAACGTTATTTATTAAAGGGTTCTGAGTCATGAACCAAAGCAAGAGGCTCCAAATGAATCACAATATTTAAAGTAAAGGTGTATTTGAAAATTAGAAAAAAGACTGTTTAGTTATTGTATGAGGAATTAAACTACTCATCCCATGATGCACTGTTACAATCAAATCAGTAATGACAACACAATGTTTCTAGCAAGTCTGAGAAAAAGTCATAATTACTTACTACAGACTTTTTCTCACAACTCAGACGTTTTTCTGAATTCTGAGTTTACATCCTGCATTTCTGTTTTTTTTTTTTTTATTTTTGTTTTGTTTTTCACCACATAGTTACAAAAAATTGATATTATAAAAAGATAATTGCAACTTTTTATCTCGCAATTCTGATTTTGTTTCTCGCAAATGCAAGTTTATATGTCACAATTCAGACTTTTCTTCTCAAGTTTATATCTCACCATTTCGAGTTTATATCTAGCAGTTCTGAGTTTATATTCTGAAAAAGTCAGACTTGTGTGTTAAAAGTTGTGAAACAAGCTTCCATAAAATTTAATATGATTTATTTTTTCCTTAAGAAGTTTTTGTTTGTTTCTGATTTGTCTCTTCAGCAGAAGCAAATATCATCAATAAACAACTTCAGAGTTCATACACTTAAAAAAAAAAAAATTATGCAGGATTAACTTTGAAACAAATTTCACTCATAAATTGCTAGTAAATTTTAAAAATGATTACAAAGAAACAGCAAGTAACAGTGAATTAAACCTGAAACTTTGAAGTAGAAAAACAGAAATAGTATTTTCTTTCAAAACATACAATAATCTTTGTTTTATTTACAACTTTACAATAAAGTTTTACTTTCAAAACATGACTGCTGCACTCTATTATTTAGTCAATAATAACAGCAAGTTGCACTGTTCCTTTCTTACCAACGCAGTCGTATTTCCCATTGACGTATTTGAGATCATAACCTGTCTGACACTTGCAGTAGTAGCTTCCAAATGTGTTGGTGCACTGACGGTTGAACGGACACTGGTTTTTCCTAGTTGCACATTCATCAATGTCTGAAGAAGAAAATGAGGGAAACAACAAGAGTTGAATAGGCATCTTGACCATCGGCTTTCATTGATCCAAAGTGACTTGTGAATTTCCATGGTTTTTCCACCAGCTCTTGATTGCAAGGATTTTTATAAAATAATTTCAATACATAACAATCACAAATAAACACAAACAAATTAAATATTTTAAAGCAAAGCACAACTATACAAAATGCATCTATCTATCTATCTATCTATCTATCTATCTATGCTTGCTTGCTTAAAACAGGAACAAATATCTTCTAATGAGGTCAGAAAAAATAAACTTAATTCAACAGGGGAAAAAAAAGATTATTTTTTCGGAACCCACTGGTAGATTTCTTAAAATCTCATTTTAAGAATAAATTCAAATAATTGCCAGTGGGGTCAGAAAAATTTACTTAAAATTATTATTATTATTATTATTTTTTTTTTTAATTTATTTATTTTTTTTTTAAATTTATTTATTTATTTTTTTAATTATTATATTTCCATTGAAATCTAATTTTAAAATTCACTGATATTTCTGGGTTGACCACTTAAAAAATCTGGTTTATTTTAAGCAAAAATTCAATAATCTGATTTCTCCGATATCAAAGAAAAAAAAACATTTTTTTTCCAGTTTAATCAGATGTAGAGGTCAAGTTATTATTGGTATGATAAAGAAAAAACACAGACCCAAAATCTGACTTGAACGGAGCAGCTCCATCACTCTCATCAGTGAGTGAGCAGTTACTATAGCAACAGCTTCATCTGAAGAGCTGGTGTCATTGAGCTGTTCTCACCCTCACAGGTCTTCCCATCAGATCCCAGCTGCAGGCCAAGAGACGGACAGAGACAGCGGACTTCACCCTGCACCTCCTCACAGCCGTACTGACAGTGAGCCAGAGAACACGTCCTCGAGTCTGCAGGACACACGACAAAACATCCACAGACCTTCACTTTAATACAAGACAAACTCAGATTCAAAGGCTGATTGAATTAACTAATGTACAAAACCTGACATTAGCCTGAATAAAATGTTAAATAAAGTCAACTTTTAGGTAATTTAGTATAGGTGCATCTTAAATTATTAAACAGCAAGAACTTGCAATATCAAACCAATGGGCTGCTGAACATGCTCAGTTTGATCACCCATAATCCATTGCACTTAAAACATTTGTGCTTTTGGTTGAAGCATGTCGACTTATGAGCACATGCAAATATTTGTTATTCTGAATTAGCTGTTTAGCTCTATTTAATGTTTTTTAAGTCACCATTCGGGTGATTAATGTTCCATTTGGTCAAATTTCCTCAATTTCATGGAATAAATTGTATACACTTGTTTTGGTGCATATAAATAATATGACATTTTGAGTTTGTGCAACTAATTGATACACAAATTAAGCAAACTTTTAGTGGATTTACATAAGATTTACGTCAATAATGTGCAATATTAATACTTATTTAGCTTCAAAACGATAGCTTATTGAACTTGGATCCACAAGTTTAAGAACTTACTCTATTATACTCACATTTAAATATATTGCAGCACAGTCACTTACTTGTACAGGAGCCATCAGACATCAGCATGTATCCGTTTAAGCAGTAGCACATATAGCTACCAAATGTGTTCATACAGCGATGTTCACAGGGCCGAGGCTTTAGACCGCACTCATTCAGATCTGAAGCCAGAGACAGAAGGAGACAGGCTAGTCAAAGGCTGTGCACAAATCACATTATTTCTGCATTATATAGCATAAATACCTTGTACAGTCTTTTTTTACTGTACTGTAATTTACTGTATGCATAGATGACCTACTACAGTTGGTAAAATATATCTCATGTAATCTCACAATGCTGTGACCTTCCATTGTCAATGTGATTAATGAATCAACAGTAATATCAGCCATGATACAGAGGCATCAGACCATTTTTACTGTAAAATATTACTGATAAATCCTTTTCTGACAACAGAGATTACCATATACCGATATGAGACTTGTTTTCCTTGATGATATTTCAGGAACCATGGTGTGTGTGTGTTTTCTATCAGCTTTTAGAATCAGAACTAGCTATGCAAGATTGCGCGAATTAATCACTCTTTTGAACTAATCTGACGAACGGATTTGGGCTGAATTAGTTTGTGACTCAGTTTGATTCACAGTTCACTGACGCACTGAATCACTTGCAAAGACAAACAAGGGAAAACCAACAACAACAAAAATGCCATACTTGAAATAAAAAACATTAACTTAACATAACAATATACAAAAAAAAAAAACGTAGTTTAAGTTGAAGTAACAATAAAATAAACAAAAAACTAAAACTCATAAATATAAAATTCTAGAGAAATTAAATAATATATAATAAATAATAAATCAAATTTAAAAAGACAAAAAAATAGTGCTGTCAAATGATTAATCGCTATTAATCGCATCCAAAATAAAAGTTTTTGTTTACATAATATATGTGTGTGTGTACTGTGTATATTTATTATGTATATATAAATACACACACATGCATGTATATATTTAAGAAAAATATGTTATGTTTAAATTTTAAATATATTTATATATAATATAAATTATATGAATATAAATATATACATGTAAATGCATGTAAATATTTTCAAAATATATACTGTATGTTTGTGTATTTATATATACACAATAAATGTACACAGAACTCACACATATATTATGTAAACAAAAACTTTTATCGCGATTAATCGTTTGACAGCACTACAAAAAACACAACAAAATTACTAAACATTTTAAAAATATAAAAATAATCAATCAAAATATTAACAAAAACTATAATACCGCTCAAATACCACTGGCACAAACCTTGACTACATGTCTTTCCAGTGTATCCGGGGAAGCACTTGCATTTGTTGGGGCCGACACACTCGCCATGTTTGCAGCCCAGGTCACACTGAGCTGGTAAAACATTCAACAGTGGAGATATATTAGTAAAGGAAACAGCGCAGGTCAAATCCTTTCACAAAAGCACACGTCTGGAAACCAAAGCCAACTTCTGTTCTCCCAGATTTCCTCTCATAGTTCAGTGTTGTTTAAAAGCACCAAACCGCAGAAAGAATGAACATATCATATGAGTTTGTGGATGGAATATTCACCCAGTGTTTCCATGTTTTGAATAACTAGCTACAGTCACATGAACAATTCTCAATCAATCACAGTATCGACAATTATATGACAGTGTTGTAAATAAATAAATATACAAATAACATAAGTTTATGAAATTAAAGTCATAGCATTGCGAGATTGAAGTTGTAATATTTTGTGAATAAAGTCAAATGTCCCGAAATATTAACTTTATTCTCAAAATAGTATGACGTTTAATTTCACAATGCTATGACTTTATTCTCATAATTTTGACTTAATTTTCAAACTATTACAAGTTTAGCCTCATATAAGACTTTGTTCTTCTAATTTTGACTTTACCAAAGTATTATAACTTTAACCTCACAATTCTACAACTTTATTATCGTAATCTTGGATGTTTTTTTTTTTTTTTTACATGGCACTACAACGCCATTATACACTTACATTCTTGTCACTAAATAAATAAAAAAAAATATCCGCAACTTTATTTTCAAAATATTACGATTTTAATCTCATTTTGCTAAAACTTTTTTCTGGTCATTTTGACATTGTTCTCAAAATATTACGACTTTAATCTTGTAATACTATATTTTATTCTATGATTTTATTATACTTTATTGTCAAAATTTTACAAGTTTAATATTGTACATGACTCTCGTATTGCTGTGACTTTATTCTCATAATTTTGACTTTATTATCAAAATTTTAAGACTTTAATCTCAAAATGCGACGACTTCATTCTCATTTAGCTTATTCTCAAAACATTGTAACTTTATTCTCATAATCTTTGATTATTATTTTTTTATTTTTTTAACGTGCCATTAAAATGACATTGTATACATCCTTGTCACTAAATAAAAATAAACCACATTGTAGAAATTGTAATTTCTACTCATTTACCTTCACAGTGTCCTTTGCGGTTTTTCTTCCATCCATAACAGCACTCCAGTCTGCTGCCGTATCGACAAACGCCTGCCAAATTCCTCGCTGGGATCTGACGCTTTTCCCTTTCCAGAAAACATCAGAAACATGTCAGTTTTACAAAAAGATGGGAGGATTTCTAAAAATGCATTTAGATATGATCCAAAAATCACAATATAAAATCAAAATAATGTTTTTTATTATTAATATGAAAGCATATAAGAGCAAAATTGTGAAATTTACTACCAAATTCTGAGTAAACATTGTTAATCTACACCCATTTTTCAGTATAAAGACTGCCATGACTACTTGACCACTGGACGTATTTTAGGCTTTTAGAATATCACATGTTGTTTCAGGTGAAAATGAGCCATGATTTGAAGGTAAAAGTCTCTTTCTGGTGACCTGTGACCCTCCTAGACTAATTGCAGCTGTAAAAGCAGCAGAAATGGGGAAACACACATGAAGATCCAGCGGGGATTTGAACAGACAGGATGTAGGAACCTCTGTGTTTATGGCTCTTTAAGTGTTTAACAGATGCCTCTTACAGGAACCTCTAAAATCTCCTTGACCACATTTCTGCTATAATTAAACCTTGCACTATTCACGGCAATCACACCTCAGCAGATGGATCAGGAGCAGAAGGTGCGTGTCGTTTACACTGACAGTTACTTGAACAGGCTTTCATAGACATTTCACATGCCTGGAAGAGGTTTCGGCTTTTAAATATTGCTTCAGAAAATATTTTAATGAGCTTTTGCTTATTTTTTAAAAATCCCATTGCATTTTTAAAAGTCTGATTATAATATGATATTTCTTGCCACTTAATAGGAACATTTTGTAAATAAATGAAATTGCAGCAGTGCACAATGCATCAAATAATGAACAAGATGAACATTTATGAATGCATGTATCAATCTTAGTTATTATATTGATACGTTTAATACAACATTTTAAAATGTCATACATTATATACTTCCATCTTGTAAGCTCATTTGCATTAAGTTAAACATTTTTCAACTTTATCCAGCCGCTGTACACACACACAGAGCTATGTTCACAATTTGTGGCTTTGAGATGACCTCTGTTATATTTGAAATCATCTATATCCAAATGTGCTACTAAAATGAAAACAATAATTAGTGGTTGGCTGATATTTCGGCCAGTATTTGGCATTTTTTTAATTATCATCATAGTTTTTTTGTTTGGCTGATGTGTCTGAGGACTTTTATTTTGACAGCTCTGAGAAGGCCTAATACTTTCTAATACTAATACTTTCTCATCTACAGTATTCAGCAAATATAGATTTATATCACTTAAACAAGTCTTTGAATATCTAATAAAATTTAATTTCACAAACCTTGCAATAATAATAAGTTCAATAATAATAATAATAATAATAATAATAATAATAATAATAATAACAAATTCAAATTTTGCAATTTTTCTCTTCCTGGACCAGTAAACATCAAAATAATACTGATGACTCATCCTGCACTACACACATTTTCGTCCAATCAGATGCTCTCTAGAATGAGCAAGCCCCTCCCAGTTCATCTGCCTAGCAACAGAAAGTCAACTAAAGTCTATAGCAATATATTACTGTTTCAACAGAAAATATGTCAAAACAAAAGACAAAACTGCTTTTATTGAGTGATCAACATCCTCTCTGTGGTTCCAGATGTTTGTAATTCTGCGTACTTCTCATGTTGGTCTCTAAATTTGGACCAGGCTCCAGCGGGACGGAGTGAATCAGTGAACCGACGGAAATAAACTCTGTACAGCAGCAAATGGGAGCCAGTCGTGTGAACAGGTGGCCAACGCTCATTACAGCCAAAATTAGCAGCTCATCATTGGCAGATCAGCATCGACAGCTTCACAAACCAACACAACAACAGCCATTTACTTAAATACTGCACACATATTTCAAATCTGTTCAAGCTTGTGCATCACTTACAGCTACTTTTGTATTTAATAGTGATTTAAATTGATGATTAACAAGCATTCAAGTTAACAATTAACTCAGGTTTATTGAAATGCATTGATTCAATTGAAGTAATCAAAGTAAATTCACATTACTCTGAAAAAAGGTTTTCTATTTTGATAACACTTTACAATAACATCTCATTAGTTAACATTAGTTAGTGCATTAACTAACATTAACTAACAATGAGCAATACATTTGTTTCAGTATTTATCCATCTTCATTAACGTTAGTTACTAAAAATACAACTATTCAAAAGTGATTGTACAAAAAAACTACTATTCATTATTTGATCATGCCAGCTCAAATAAATTAAATGATATAAGGTACAACTTTTGATTTTAATAATGTATTAGTAAATTTTGTCTTGTCTTCCATTGAATTTTTTTTTAAATGTATACATCAAGATATGTTTACTTGAGAAGCAAAAAGACTTCAGATATTAAGTCTTGTTTTCTTAAAAATACACCAAAATTAAGTGAGTTTTTGCTTAAAACATGAAATATCTGGCAATGCGATAAGAAACATAATATTGTTTTATTTCTCTTACCCCATTAAGAGATTTTTTTTACTCACTCATTTTGATTGTTTTTTATTTTTCAGTTTGTGTATTTTTTTTTTTTGTTGCAGTTTATGCATTTAATATGGCTACAAAAGCAATAAAAATTATTTTTCAAGAAATATTGACTTGAATTAAAAAGGTTGCACTGGTCACAAAAGTTTTTGCACATTAATTACTGTTGCCTTTTAACTTATGAATTGATCTGCTTCATAAATCACTCCAAATAAGATCTCAATTAAATGCAGAACAATCTACTGTACTTCTCAGATGTTTCTCCTAAGAAAAGACCTAAATAATCTGACATGCGATCTCAACAATGTCTTAAACTAAAGTCTCCAATCCAAAGTCAGAGATCTCAATATGAGTATTAAGACTGCTTAAGTTTCTCCACAACAGAGGCTGTTTAACTTCAAGCAGGAGAAGGTCACTTACCTGTAATCTGCAGATCCTGAGGAGAAATAAAGCAGGAATGACAGAGCACTGATCCACGTCAAATGTTTCATGTTTTAAAGCAATCCTGTTTATTTCTGTGCTGTCCTTTTATCTTCTGTTTGTGTTTCCTAGTGTGATTGCAGGATAAAGTCTGCAGCGTCTGTCCTCTCGTCTCGTCAGTGTCTCTCTCTCGTCTCGCTGAAATTCCAGATGTCATTGCGTTGAGTGACAGAAGGGCTGGAAGTCTTTGTGGGGGTGTTTCAGACATCTTCTCTCTGAAACTCAATCTGTGACGTCTAGATTCAAACATCTCACTTCACGCTCCAGCAGAAAGAAAACCTGGTTTAAGAGAAATTCAACTTCTGAATGAAAGAATACACTCTTTTGATTCATGAACGTGAATTTGAATCAAATTAGAAACAACATACTGGAAGCTGAATTTACTTAATGGCAATTTAAAGAAATTTGACACTGTCATCATAATATAGAGCAATATCTTGCAACACAAGTTTTATGAAAAAATTATGAATTTTGACTAATTATGCCTGTTTACAAATTGACGTTTTTGTAGCACCAGTGTTATGTTATTGATATACTTTTATAGATTTTGTTAATATTTTTAATTAGATTTTATTTTTATATTTTCTGTTTTCACTTTGTTTAGTTAAAGTTTTAGTAATTTTGTTGTGTTCTTGCTATTTTAGCATTTTTTTAATATGTTGATATGTTTTTTTTTTCATTACTTTTTATTGCTTTTAGTTTAGTTTTAGTTATTTTTATACTGTCTATTTGCACTTTAATTTTAATTAAAGTTTTAGTTTTATTCATTTTTTTTATATGTAGTTACCTATATTATTACCTATATAGTTTTTTTATTAGTCTTCTATCTATCTATCTATCTATCTATCTATCTATCTATCTATCTATCTATCTATCTATCTATCTCTCTCTCTCTCTCTCTCTCTCTCTCTCTCTCTGTCTCTCGTCAGTATCTGCTCTGGTTTGTGGTGGTGAAGTGAATTTCTCTCTCTATAGTGGAGCTGAACTATGTTTGGGCTTGTCGTGAGCAGCTGGAACGCTCTGTGAAGCGCTTCACATGATTATTAAATCTCAAGCCTGCCAAGTCGTTCAAGAAAAGACAATATCCATCATTACAACAATTTTATGCTTCTACAGCCCTGCATCTCCATGTGAAGACAACGAACATCTGGTCAAACCTGACAGAGCTCTGACCTCGAGGACAAGCTCAATAAGGCCACAAACTCTCACACAAGTGCACAAACACAGCCAACAGATGACAGGCGTGTGGTTCTGTTGTACATACTTACATGTGTTCCTGTGTTTCTGTGGCAGAAACAAACCTCAGTCCTCAAGGGGGCGACAGAGTTTCCTTCAGATGCCATTACAGTTTTTCTCAATTGCTTTGGCACATTTTTCGAAACAATCTTAACATTCTCTAAACTGTGAGTGCAAATGTCACAACTGTTTGCTGGAACTTCAGAACTTTATTGCATGTCTGCAAAATGTAGTTACTCACCCAAAACATTTCATTCATGCTTCAAAACCTAGTTATCGTGTCAGTAATTTGGCCAAGGCCACCAAAATATAAAGTATTTTTGTCATCGTGTGAGCCACACTGGTCAAAATGTTTAGTTGTTTTTTCACCATGACAGTCAACCATGGAAATGAAGGTTTTATTAAAAATCTGATATTTGTTGAGAAGAGTCAATAGTACATAGAAAAAAAAGTATATGAACATTTGTATTTATGCAGTACATTTATTTTTGTACGAATGCATTACATATAAGTGAAATCTTGCTTGTCCAATTACTGTACATTTCATATAAAGTGTGTTTAGGAAGGCCAGGAGAAGTTGGGTATTATAGGGCCCAATGTGTGGAATATGTGTGCTCACACCATTCTCTGAAATGGCAGCACACATTGTAATATTGGCCCCACGTTGGCCTGGTGTGTCAGTTGTGGCTCGGTGTCCAATGAGATTGCGACCACGTCTCCGGCCTTTGGACAGATTGAACCCGGCCTCGTCCACAAAAACAAGAATGTGGGTTGTTTCATGTACTTCTAACTCCATGATTCTCTACGAAGAAACACAGAAACAAAATAAAGTTATTTTTATTCTAGAGTTCAGTAAATGTTTTCTCTTCTCTTCTTAAAATTTTTCATAATTGAATGGATCGTTTTGAGTGTGATGGCTTACACGATGAAAAATGATTGAGAAGTTGTGAAGAGTTTGACAGTTTAAGTGAGAATCGGCTCATCAGTTTTGATCAACAAGCCATATGCAATTAGTTGTTGTGCAAACTGCAGACAATTGTACTTACTGTTTGCACACATGTGCCAAAGTATTTGCAATTTGCTCAAATCAATAAGAAATTCCAATCTGATGTGAACAAGAAGCTAATTGTTCAGAGATCTGAACTTATTGTTTCGGGAAAAAAAAAGTTTCATTCGAGAATTGAGCCAAAGCAATTGAGAAAAACTGTAAACCAGATGAACATGCTGACGGTTTCACCAGCTTTCACTAAGATTTTAGTTGCATTTAGTTGCATTGTTTTTCTAGGCCTATTTTCTTATGCTGAAGGTAAAACAGGTTCCATATAAAGACCTTTAACTACGCATATTCAGTCTACTTATTACATGCCTTTTTAGTAGCTTGTGGTAAAAATCACCATTAATCGCATTAAAAAATAGCTATATTATGATACTCTATCTAACATACTTTTGTGTTTCATTGAAGGAAAATAATGAATGAATGAATGAATGAATGAATGAATGAATGAATGAATGAATGAATGAACACTTATTGTATAGCTGACAAGTCAGAATGTCTAATTTTCTTGACGTACTAAAATATCTGACACTAAAAATTAAATAAAAAAAATTATTATTTAATTTATTAATTAAAAAAATTAAACCAACAAAAATAATAAAACAAACTAAAATGAAAAGAAAAAATGTCAAATTAAAAACTAATTAAATACATTAACAAAACTATAATAAATAAATAAATACAGAATATATAATATATACATATATAGAAATATATATATTTAAAAACGAATGAAAATGTATTTTAAAAATTAAAAACAATTAAAAATTAAACAACAAACTTAATACAACTTTAACTATAATTAAAGTTAAAAGAGAATATATATATATATATATATGTATATGAAAAAAAAATTCTAAAAATATTTTAAGGTCCAATTCTCACTATTAACTGCCTCAATAAACTCCTAATTTGCTGTTTATTAATAGTAAAATTTGGGTATGGGGCAGGATTAACGGATCAAAAATAATATCACTCAGAATAAAGCATTAAAATGTGCTTTTTAAGTACTAATAAACAGCCAATATGCTAGTAATATGCATGCAAGTTAATAGTGAGAATTGGTCCTTAAAATATAGTATTACCATAAAAACTATAATAGTAGGCCTTTGTTAATTATTTTAAAATAACCCTGTAGAGTTGCTTTAATTAAATTAGCTTCATAAATGATGCATTTTGCAGCATTTTTCTGTTTATTACAGCTAATTTGAAACAATCTGTATTGTAAAAAGAGCTATATAAATAAATGTGACTTAAATGGCTATGTATTTTAACAGCATCTTGTGAGGTGAGTCTGGAACACAAGGCCACATGCAGCTGCAGGTTTTCTGCCTAAATGTCCTGTAGGCGTGAGTGTCTAATGCTTCTTTGTGAGACAGGATGTTTGTCGGCTCCTCCGGGCAGAAGCAGTTTGTCTGACAGGAGATTATTTCACATCATGGGGAGGAAACAAGCTTGAATTCATCCCGGAGCCTGAAATGTTATCAGCCTGCAGAAATATGCTGCTATCTGAGACGCAACACAAACAGTCTGAGCGCTTCAAACAGACAAACATTCCTTTGCAAAAACACAACTAAATACTAAAACTTGAACTAAAATTAAAATAAAGACATAACGTAACTGACTCATAATATTAAGAAAACAATGGTAATATCTCAATGACACTAAAACACACCATATTTAGTATTATTTACTAAAGCAGGTGGCTAAAAAGCAAAGTGACAGTGAAATCATGTCTCTGCAGTAATGTCAGGTTAAGTGTTTTGTGAAAGAGCAGAACAGTGTTGACCTCTGTAACTCACCAGATCAAAGGTCACCCTCACGTGGGATCAAACACTTGACCTTTGTCCTGGAGCAGGAGGAACCACCCTCTGCAAAGAAACCAAATGAAACAGAGCTTATATTCACACTTTAATACATAAGGTCAGAGGTTTGACATTAAACTGAAGGAATAGTTAAAGCAAAGGGTAAAATCTGCTGAAAATGTCCTCACCCTCAGGCCATCTAATATGTAGATGAGTTTGTTTCTTCATCAGATTTGGAGAAATGTAGCATTGCATCAGTGTCTCAGCAATGGATGCTCTGCAGTGAATGGGTGCCGTCAGAATGAGAGTCCAAACAGCTGATAAAAACATCACAATAATCCACAAGTAATCCACACCTCTCCAGTCCATCAATTAACATCTGGAGAAGACAAAAGCTGTGTGTTTGTAGAAACAAATCCATCATTAAGACATTTTAAACTAAAATACTAGTCCATGATCCATAATAACGCTTCCTCCAGTGAAAACGTCCATCTTCAGTTGTCTCTCGCATCAAAATCCAGCCACATATTTGTTTAGAGCTGTTCTGGACTGTTTTGGCTTGTAAACAGTGCTTGATCTGTGCTGATTTCTCTCCTGATTCAGACCAGACCACTTTTTCACTGCAGGAAGCATTATTATGGATTATGGACTCAGCCAGAAGCAATGGCTTAAAGTTAAAAACGTATTAATGACGGATTTGTTTCTTTTGTCTTCTCCAGATGTTAACTGATGGACTGGAGTGCTGTGGATTACTTGTGGATTATTGTGATGTTTTTATCAGCTGTTTGGACTCTCATTCTGACGGCACCCATTCACTGCAGAGCATCCATTGCTGAGACACTGATGCAATGCTACATTTCTACAAATCTGAAAACTCATCTATATCTTGGATGGCCTGAGAGTGAGCACATTTTCATTTTAGGGTGAACTACTCCTTTAACAAAATTATATTCTGTTTGCTGAGAGGAAGATGTGTTATTTTATGTTTTAATATGACTTAAGCCTGTCCACAAGG